GAATCAACCTGCGAGCTTTTTCGAATGCATTTAGCCTCAAAATAAGTGATTGAGCTTTTAGCTTTTTTTTAAGATTTTTCTTAATTTCATTTGGCCTTTTCTAGCCTTTTTTCCTTTTTCTTACTAAAGTTCTTTATTGAGTCGATATTTAGAAAATAATATTTACATCATAAATACATACATAAATTTGTTATGGTTACTCTAAAAATAGTAAGCACAAAAAAGTTTTCGACTATCGTAAAGCGCAAACCGGTTTGCGTATCACTATTAGTTGGTATTTTTTAACTGAGTGGCGTCGGAAAAGAGCTTTGTGCTAGGAATTTTTTAATTTTAACCTCAACCATTGGATAGGTAAATTTCAGTAGATCTCAAATTGTATTGTCTCTTTTAATGGTTTTTTTTTGTTAAAGATATATGACGAAGCGATCGGTTGAAGAAATTTCGCATGGAAGTAGCGCCAGTGATTCTGATTGTGAAATACATTCAAAAGTGACAAGGTAAAGTATATGTGTATGGGGATTTTTGATTTATATACTTATGAGTGCAGTTTGTGTTTTAGAAAATATAAACAAAAACCGCGAAAAGAATGGTTTCTGGATAGCAGGTTGAAAGCATGGGTCGTCGAAAACAACGAGGTAGTGAGGTGTAAATATTGCTTTTGTACACTACAACCAAAGCTTTCGGGATATTATATGTAGGTATGTACATGATACAAGTATTTGAGGGTAAACCGTTCGCTGAATTTATATTTTGAAGTTTGTCTACTTTATAAAATTGAAATTTTCAGAGCAACTACAACGCTAAAAGTAAATCCTTTAAATTTTTGTATCATGGTTATGTACATATAAAGATTTATACCAAATTGTTATATTTGAAACTCAATAAATTTGAAAAATAAAGCAAAAAATGATTTTTGGTTTTAGCTGTTTTTTTAGCTCGAAAAAATTGCCGTTTTTAGCCTTTTTTTGGAGGCAATCTAGCTTTTTTCTTCAAAAAATTCTGGCAACACTAGTAGGAAGTTTAGTTCGGGTTAAAGTCCACACTGCCGGGTATAGTGAAGTAAAAGCTTGTTGTTGAGAAAACTTATTTTTGCACTGCGTATTCACAATAAAAATCAGCGGTTTGTAAATATTCCTCACGGCCCTTAATTTAATTTTTCAGTCTATAATGTGGAATGTGACTTTTTGTTATATATTGGCATTTTATGCTAAATTTCTATATTTTATGATTGTGCCAAAACCGGATGAATTGTGCCGAAAGTGCCTCTGAGAATGAAAGTGCCAAAAATGGCACTATTGTGCGTGCTTTTCCATCACTGCTTCACGGCAAGAGAAGAGACCTTCGCTTCTACAGAGGTTACTCTGTGTGTCTTCTTAGACATGGAGGGAGCTTTCAATAATACTGAGTACATCTCTACCTGGAGGGCTATTGTAGTTCGCATACTTTCTGGCATTAGTGGTCGAAGTAGAATATCTCAGCCAGACCTCAATGGATTTTAAAAATTCTTGTTTATTTGCGTTAAAAATCCTTTTAAAAAATTAAATCAACAAAAAGTTCTGCGTTCCGAGCGCAGACGTCCACGTAAGCGCGGTAAGCTTCGACTGCGACCAAACACCCATTTGCGAGCGAGATAAAGTTGAGAAAGCGAAAAAACTTCGCGTGCGCTGGGTTTTGGCCCCCGAACATAAAACCTCGTATGAGAGCCTTTTTCTTTGATGACGACCACGGCAAACGTATAATTATGAGTGTGATTTGAAAGTATGCACTTGTGGTATCCGGACCCTTAATGGGGAAGGTGCCTCTGCTCGGCTGGTTGATGTCGTAGGGAAGACAAAGGCTGACATCACCGCCACCCAAGGAATACGTGTAGCCTTGCGACGTCTACTAATGCTGCCACGTAAAGGTGTGTCGAGTACTGTCGTTCACCCTGGTGGACGAGCATGTAGCCACAATCCGAATCAAAACAAAATTCTTCAACATCTCGCTCAGGCGTCGATTGGAGAATACGAGCAATGTCCGATAACGGACTGAGGCTCATCGACTTCGACGTGGCGCAAAACACGGTCGTATATAGTACTAGGTTCCAGCATAAAAATTTCCATCAAGCCACATGGCTGTCCCACGCCCGATAATTGTACCAGAAAGTTAAGTGACTTACGGATGATTCCAATATCGGGGCTAACTATTGTAAGAACAGCCATGGCGACGTAGTGACCGACGTCCAAAACGTACTTAATTTATATAGGGAATACTTTTCCAGCAAATTTTGTGAAAGTCTGAATCCATACGTGAACGAACTGATTGGGCCCTACCAGTGTAGCTTTAAATATGGCAAGTCCAAAAGACGCGCACACCAAACACCATGTACTTGTCGATTCCAAAGTCACCTTCAACAGCACGAAAAGAAATTGTCTTTATGCCGCGCTGTCTGAGTTTTGTATCCTCGCGAAATGAAGCTCTGTCAGAATTACTGGTGTTAAAATGTTTAATGGGATTTTTAGTGTTAGGTATGGAATGAAAATCAAAGAAAAATGCTGTCCTGATATTCTACTTCAGCGAGTTCTCATTTAAAAAGTATACCTTGCCAATGGGTATACAAATATTCAAATTCATCTGCGTCTAGACGCACCCTTTCAAAAGTTTCGCAGGGCGCGAAAAAGTACGCTTTGCGATGATGAAGTACAACCATATCGCATAGGTTTGTATTTTCCCCGCCAGGAAACACAAAGAAGGGCTTGGGATGCTTCGACTTGATCCAATATCTGTGTGGGTAGACGGGTTTTTGAGCTCTTTCGACACTCATACATACAACCTTTAGGAATGAGCGAACGGGAAGCAGTAGTTGCAGGACGACAACGGTGAATTTCTACACGGATGGGTTGAATTTGTTATCAAATCAAAGAGGACTGAAATAGCTTTCAACCAAAAATATGTAAAAGAAGGTTACCATTTAATTTAATACAAATAAATTCATATATCAGACCCAAGGTTTGTGCTACGGTAATTAAAAAAATTTTAATTGAAATATTTTTCGTTTAGATATTTCAGTTTGCAATTTTAGTCCTTTTTCTTGTTTAATTTGGATATGCGTTTATTTTATTAGGAAAGGACTTTTATTTCGGCCTTGAAAATTTTTGGTCAGTGTAACTGTTATTACTGGACTAAAAAGATGACAGTCCAATAAAATAAAAGTCAAAAAATAACTCTTTTCTAACGACTTTTATTATAAAAGTTACAAAAGTCCAGGTCCCTGTTTTTCACACCGAATCGTCACTGTTTAAAGAACAATGAGGTGGATTCAAAACTTTGTCTTTGGCTGCCTAGATTTTTGACTTAAGTACAAAGTAAGTTGTTCCTTACAAGAATGCATCATTTTTAACTTAAACATTGACATTGTTATGAAGTTATAAAAATTACCAAAATTTGATTTGGTTAGTTAATTTAGCTATTTTTTTAGCCATAACTAAAATTTTGATGTAGCTTTGTTTAGCTTTATTTTTTTTTAAGACTCCCCAAGGGGGACTTACTAAGGTATATTGATAAGAGTCAATATTACTGTATTAGATTTTTCCTTACATACATACATTTTTCTCGAAAGTGCTGTACATATATAATATTTCAGGTTTTCTCGAATGTATGATTTTCGAATTAAGCGACTATTGCTTATGACCACAGATATTAATTCCTAACAATGTCGACAGTGACATTTTCTATGTAATTATTATTGTGCCTTATTAAACCATAAATAACTAATACTATTTTCATGTGAAATAAAATATTTCTAAATACATGACTGCGGTATTAAGGTGAAATGGAGTATATAACCAACGCAACCTGTCGGTCGTCTAATGAGGAACATCCAACAAATTATAAGTACACATGTACCACAGAAATGAATGTATGGGAATTCATTCGCCTCACTATCACAGATTTAATAAATGCGACACCTTGGTAGATCTCCAAAAACAGCTACTCAACAAAAAGCATGATCTATACACAAAAAAAAAGACGCGTTGATATCATAAATTCAATTGAGCCATTATCACATAACAGGCAAATCACGCACACTACCTCCCGGCATCAATGAGAAATGCTTTGCATACAGTGTTGCCAGAGAAAATTTCGTTTGGAGCTAAATCAGTCGATAAACGAGCTAAAAAGTGCTAAATAATACTAATAGTAGCTAAAATAAGAGCTACATATATTTGTTAAGGCTGAGCATTTATTGACGTAAGGTTGTTTTTACATTTTCGGTAATTTTAATAAAAACAAACGAATTTTATAAGTTTTAAATGCTAAATCTTTTAAAACCAAAATAAGGTGCATATATTTCGAATTCTTATAATAGTGAACTAAAAATACTTTACAAGTCTGTAATTTCAGATATTTAAATTGAATAATTTTTTCGCAAAATTTTTCTGGAAAGTTTTACCTCCAGCTCTCCTTAAAGGTAAAATTAGTTAGGTAAAACAAAATCCGCGCTATCAGAAAAAGGATTTTCTTTTAACTAATTTTTGAATTCTTTAACCTAGATCCAAGAGTTTATGGTGGATACACAGCATCTCGAAATTTTCCATTTTATCAACGCTTAAATTTTGGCTTATGTACACTAAATACAACTAAAACGTTCTGGAGCTAAAGAAGGGCTACATAAATTTGAAAAGAGCTAAAAAAGAGCTAGGAGCTAAAACCCGATTTTCGGAGCTAAATAGAAAAACAAAAAGCTAAATCTAGCTCCAAAAGCACGAAAATGGCAACACTGTTTGCATACGAGTATCATCCACACAAACTTATTAATTTGCCAATTTTAATAGTTCGTAGACTTTGAAAACTGCAGCATTTGAGAATTTGACGGCGGCACGTACGGTTTGAAAGCGCATCGCCAAGCGCGAATTCGAAAATACTTTTACAGCAAGTTAGCTACTAATGAAAGTTCAAAGAATATTTGCATATTATAGTGAATAGCGTAGCTAAATGGTACCTAATATTTTTATTTAATGATCAACCATTAAAAAAGTAACTGTTTGACACAAAGCGATTACGAACGCGTGTGAAAATATTCTCATTATTTAGTGGAAGTGTTTTAGATGTAAACACCTAAACAGCTGGGAACGGTAAAATAATTTGAACTAAAAAATATATACCCACATACAAATATATAATGTGCAAAGATAAATCAAATGTCAGCACAACTAGCGTACACGATACTGAAATTTATTCTTCGGAAGTATCGTTAGATATACCACCAGATGCCCTGTACACAAGCTCCAGTAACTGTATTATCGAGGAAGTGGATACGAACAATGAACGAGACTGCTGTCAAACCACCACTATTTGGCTGAAGAACACCGCTTCGAATATATTTCGCAAAAAGACACTCTACAAACGTTTACCTATTTTAGCGTGGTTGCCTAAATATAACCAAAAAGATTTAATTGGTGATTTGGTGGCCGGCATAACTATTGGTTTGACTGTGATACCTCAGGGCCTGGCTTTTGCTGGCATAACGGGCCTGGATTTGCAAGTGAGTGAGAGTTTATAAAGAAATTTGATATTATTGAATACAATTTGTTTCATAGGAGGATATGTATGTATGTATGTATATTAGGGCGTGTAAATTTTTTTCTACATCGTTCCTACCTTACGAAAAATTCTATGAAAAAAAGACCATCAGACCATAGCGCTAAATTAAGTTTAGAACCTGGAAAATTCTAAAAGGTATTTTTTGACTAATACAAAGTTAAAATGCTGATTAACATTTATAAAAGTGTTAAGAATGTTTGTTTTTTTTTTTTTAATAAAAACTTGTGTTTGGTGTTTTTTTCGTATGACAAATTTATTTATTTTTATCTATTTTTGTATAAAGATCCGCAAGATGGCCTTACAAAGCAAATTATGTGTACAGTATCGGTGAAATTAATAGCACCCCCATTTCAAAGTGATATTGTTTGCCACTCATGGTTATTTACTTCAAAAAAAAGGAGCAGATTATCAATTTGTCGGAATATTTTTTTATTTATGTTACCGCATAACTTTGGACCACCTAAGCCAATTTTTTTATTTGTTTTTTTTTAAGGAAATTTTGGTCTTTATGGGCTTAAGAGAAAGTTCTTTAAAGTACATAAATAAGAAGTTCAAACTAACAATATGGGGGTGCTATTGAGATGTCAAATTAAGGCGCTTGGTCTGTAGACGTGCAAACTGGTTTTAGTTTTTCGAAAGTAGCTGCCACCTGTTGAAAAATTAAGTTCATATTATTTAATAATCAAGGCCATCAAATCCGCACCGTTCGTTTGATTTTCCAAAATGAGGTGTCAAACTAAAAGCTTTGGACTGTAGATGTGCAATAAGATTTTTTTTTTTAAAGAGTTGCCACCTTTTAAAAAGTTATATTCAAATTAGTTATTTAAAAAAATAAATCAATTATTGCAAACTGGGTATCAATCGAAATGGCTTTGAAAAGCTTTGTTTCTTAGCTGAACTATAAGAGGGTTGCTGCCCCCTGTTAAAAAAGTCATCCCCATATGGATGACACCCGAAAGGGGTTTCCGAAAGTAGTAGTTTGCAGATATTTTGAAGAGGGTTGACACTTGCTTGAAATGTCGAATTTAGGTTACTTATTCACAAGCTATACGAAATATCATAATATGGTTATCAATCGAAGGAGTCTTAAGAAATCTTTAGTTTGAACGCTAAGAATATTGCAGAGATGTTGAAGGAGGGTTGTCACCTGTTTAAAAAGTTATATTGAAATTATTTAATAAGTTTAATGAATTTTTAAAATATGGGTATCAGTCGAATGGGAATTGAAAATCTTTGAGCTGTACTTAGCGGGTTTGTTTAAAAAATCAAATTCCACTTAATACATAAGTTAATTAAAATATGTATCGCAATGTTAGGCGAAGGAGAGTTAACAAGGACCATGACTTTCCGATAGGACTCCTGGTTTCTGGCAAATTAATTAATCATTCCAGTTTTTTATATCTTAATGGAAAAATAAAAAAACTTTACAAAAGAACAATTAAATAAATAACAGGTTCTGTACCAAATTTTTGCATTTGTGCTAAAGCCTGTTCTGTTACAAAAAAGATCAAGTTACTAGTGAAGAAAATTTATGGATAAATAAAGATGTAATGAGTGGTCAAATGAAAATGCGCAAAGATTTTTCGTATGAAATATGAATTGAAAAGCGTGTTACTCAGATCTGCGTGGCGTATGAGTAACATTCTTTCCTGCTCATTTTTCATACAAAAATTGTTGCGCATTTTCTTTTGACCACTCATTATTTCTTTACTTATCCATCATATTGGGAAAATAATGATTGTAAAGTTAGGTTACTCGGTAACAGTTAAAATTACTATTGGGATGAATTTTTCTTAATATTTAAACCTCCTTAGAAAATTTGGCCGAGTTTAAAAAAGTTGCACCAATCTTTTCTCTTCTGTGCCAAGGGCGACAAGTTAAAATTCTCCAGCTGCTTTTCAATCGCAGAGGACGCTTACCTATGCCTATTGCCCAATTTGCAAAACACTAACAACATCAACAACAACAACAAACTATTAGCTGCATTTTTGTAAGCGAGTGACAAAAGAACGCTCAACTCGGGTAAAATTTCCTTTTAGCTACTTAAGCAACCCTGTTGGCAAGAAACATATGATTAGTTTAACGGGATTTAGATACAAAAATCAATTTAAATGAGTAATAATGCGAGGTATTTGCGTAATGTATATAATTATTTAAAATATAAGTCACGCATATAAGGAAAAAAACAATTCACTCTCCACTATCCCATTAACAATTCACAATAGAGCTTTTTTTCACTTAACAACACTTCCCTTCAGGTCGCACATTTTTTTAACCGACCTGGCTGAATTGCCGAGTTTGTATTGTTGCTTTGCGTGTAATTCGTCATTTAAGCGAGCGTTCTTTTGTAGCTCGCCATGCAAAAGCATGCACCTCTTATTGCGCTTGTAATCTTCCAAATCAAATCCCGTCTCGCCATACACTTTGATTTAAATTTTCTAGTTGTTATTGTTTCGTCTTTATCAGGCATTTTTAAAAACATATTTGACGTTGTTTTGAAACTTAACGATATAAAATAATTTAATTAATATTTCTTAGAATATAGAAGTAATACACTGTGCGTCGCCGACTATATTCTGTATGTATAAAAGTTGATGCATTCTTCTTATAAACTTCTCTCCGCCGTATTTGACTAGCTAAACTGGCAAGCCGTCAGCTCCAGTAGCCTTTTTTGCATCCGCGAAATTGCCATCCGTACTACGTAAAAGTCGAGTGTAGGAACATCAGTTCCCTCAACATAGACTAACAGATCTATTCTGCGCTGGTAATAAAAGTTTTGTAACCGGTAAATAAAGTTCCTCTCAATTTTTAAACCCTTTTCACATTCTGTGTACTCTTTTCACCGGTAAATTCCGTTACCATCTCATAAGCTGGTAACAAAGTATTGCCCCGTGAAATATGCATTGCCAGAATTTCCACAACTCTTCATAGCTGAATTGAATATTTTAACTGCATTACCAACGTACCTATAATCGCGATGACAAGAACTGGTAATATTTTTTGGTAATAAAATTTTCCGATTTCAAAATCTTTGGTAACGTGCAGAATAGATATGTAAGAGTCGGATTGACCTTCTTCGCTGGCTGAAGTTCTGTTACCATTCCATAGAGTAAAAAAGTGTTATCCTTATAATAATATTCCGGATTTTCTTTTCTTCCTTCAAATAATATGTCTTTTGTCTGTGGGCCATCCTTTTTCTCTGCAGCTTCGTGGAATGCCTCTTCTTACCTGTTGATCTTTAGGGTCCACAAAAATCCTACTACCTTTTCGGTAGCGGCACGCAATGAGCGGGAAGTGTAGTTTCACTGCTCCCATGTGTCGGTTTGTTGAAGAAGAACAAGGTTTAAAGGCGGAGTGCAAAACTGATTCAGTCTCTCCCACCACAAATGCAATGCCGATTGCGATCTATTATATCGAAGCTGTAGTAGACGTCGGAGGACCCCATGCGGGTTTTGTTGCCCCTTGCACCGTCCATCACATTTATTGGATGCCATACTTGTATGAATGTCATTGTTAGTGCTCCCCGTACGACATCAATCAGCCGGGTAGAGGCACCTTCTCCATTAAAGATTCGTACATTCCAGGCCCATGCCCTAAAATCGTAATCTTTTGTTCGTACGCCGTGGTCGTCATCAAAAGAAACAGATAATCAACATTTTTGCAACTTATTTCTTTTATTTATTGATACTCTTTAACTCTATTTTGGTTGCAAAAAAGTTGTATACGTTCATGCATATACATATATAAATGTATGTATGTATGAAAATTGCGTCTTTTTAGAAACTTAAATTTGAATTTTTATCTGGTTTCTTATTTATGAATAATGAGAGTCATCATGATGAAGCTCAGCTAGAATCTCTCAAGGTTAGAATCGCCACCATAATTAGATATGTATGTACTATTATCATTACTATAGCGAAACTTAACGCTGGTCAGCAAAGCAGATCACGACGTTCACAAGTGCAATGTTAAAAGAAATGCGAAGAATAAAAAATAAATACTACAATTTAAGTTCCAAAACCGGTTGTTTCTGGAGGGGGTAGAGCAAAGTGGAAGCAAATTATCAAATGAGAAAGAAAAAAAAAATCACATTGATGAAAGAAAATAAGCATAAATAATTTTGATCTCTTTAGAAATAACTACCCAATAAACACCCAATAACCATTTTGGCGATCGTTCGAAAATTATCTTCGATATCCAATATGAATATGGAACAGAGAACCAACTAATAACCAAACTTAGTTTTCCACTGTTCATAGTATATTGGAAATACAGTCGAGATGGGTTCGAAAAAATTGGAAACCATAGTAACAAGAGAGAAAGTGAAATCCTGCACGTTCTCGGAGGGAAATATAAGAAAATCACTCTCTCTCATTAAAATTCCAATTCGATAGCGAAGGAAAAATATATTGGATAGCAAAGGTTCCGTTTTGCTGGAGAATGGCCTAGTTCTCGAATCGAATACTAAACTATTGCACATTCGTTATCGAAGGTGAGACTCGAAAAAAAGTATGTGCGCCTGGGCCACACTGGAGAAGTGAAACACGCGTTACATATCTATTTTGTCTCATAACCAATATACATATATACATATATCTGCTTTTGCTTAAGGTTATATTTTTTGTCTTTTTTTCTGTCATAGATACATCTACCCCTGTTCGATGTAATTACATTTATGTTATTCTGTTTTCCTTTATATTCATTTTTATCTTTCTACTCTATCGCTAACAAATCAATAGTAACATCCAACAAAATATCGATAATAAATCCGATAAAAATATCAATGTTAATATCGATAACACATTCGATAAAAATGTCGATAGAAAAATCGATAATAATATTGGTAGCAAAATCGATTAGAAAATCGATAAAAATATCGCTGACAAAATCGATAATAAAATCGATAGCAAAGGCTTTAAATAATAAAGTCGATAAATAATCGACAACAAAATCGATAAAATATCGATAACAATTCGATACAAATTCCAATAACAAAATCGATTATAATATTGGTAGCAAAACCGATTAGAAAATCAATAAAAATATCGATAAAAGTATCCATAAAAATATCGATAGCAAAATCGATAAAAAAAATCGAAAAAAAATTTATAACAAAATTGATAAATAATCGATAACAAATCCGATAAAAACATCGATTATTATATCGAGTCCCGCGAATCCCGGAAACCTCTAAAATCCCTAAATGGTTCCCAGATTGGATCTCTGTGTCTCTATCTATATCCTTTTCTCTCTAATTACCTTTATTTTAATCTTTTTTCCTCTATCTTCATCTTTACTTTTATCGGTATCCTCATCCTCATCTTTTTCTTTATATTTATCTTTATTTTTAACTTATATATAAGTAAAGTGTTTAAATTTACCTTGGTATTCATTTTTGCCATTATCTTTACGCATCTTTGTTTTTATTTCTTATTTTTACCTTTTCCTTTATCTTTTTCGTTATCATGTACCTACTCACCTTTATTTTCATTTTTGTATTGGTCTTTTTCTAAGTGTTATTCTTTAACTCTTTATTAGCAAGTTTTTCTTAAATTAATAACATACATTCAAGAAGCACTTGTTTCCGTCCCAACCATTTCCGTTGCATCATTTCCGTTGAATTTGCCAATTTACTCCGAACCAATCAACCGCCGCTAAAGAATCTTCACTTCAAAAAAGGATTGGTTTTCCAAATATTTTCGAATTGTTAACCGAGCCCAATGTTTAATGTTTATTGGGTATATAGTGTATTGCGTATGTATATATGTGACCTGGTCTACGGAAAGGGGGCTTAGGTGTCAAAAAATCAAAGTGTACTAAAAATAATAATAATATTAATAATAATAATAATAATATTAATAATAATAATAATAAAACTATAATAATATTCCGACCAACAACAACACTTACTGGACCAACAACAACTCTTACTGGACCAACAACAACACTTACTGGACGTCCGGCGCGGAGAACAATTAACGAGATAATGAGAAACTGACGAAACGAGTTGCTTACTTTTAACAGCTTTTTCACAGAAAAGTAGTTTTCGCACGTAAGCTCCCTTTTCGTAGACCAGGTCACATATATTGCTTCTATCTAGACTATTCTTTGAATTCTTCATTTTGAATTCTTTTTGCATAATTTTAAGAAAAATATTAGAAAAAAGAAACAAACATAAGCGATTTTTGACCGTGTTCAATAAATCATGCCAGCCGAAGAACATTACGTTGAAAAGAAATGTTTCCAGTGTATTTTGTATTGTGTATTTTGTGCTGATTTCTTTAGCGTTGTCTTGTAAGTATGAAATTTGTCTGCCTTACAACTTTTTCTCATTTCCAGAATATTTCTCTGAGAAAGTGAGACATCAAAGTGCTTTCGCCTTTGCTCTGGTGCCTGGTGATTGATGTCCCTCTTAGGGTCAGTTTTTCAGTGCACGCCCATGGTTTAAACTCAGTTTAAACGCCCGCTCTGGCTGGTTTGAACTAAGATCAGCCAATCAAATGCCAGCCAGTTATTCAGTTTAAAATCAGTTTACTCAATCTAAGTTTAAATCGGCACTGAAAAACTGGCCCTTAGTGACTCTAGTATCTATAGTAAAATCATGTGTCCTGCCGCATTACGCGCCTTCTCGGGCAGTTGTTTGCGGGAAAGCGCAAAGAACACTGCATAAGTATGATTGAAACTTGGTTTTATTAGCATAGGCTGTACGTTAGCCCAACCAAAACTAGTGTTGTGCTCTGCACTCGAAGTGACGGTTGGATGCTTCAATTCCCATTACACTTAAAGCAGTCACAATTCAGATCTCTTCCGAAGTTAAGTATCTAGGAGTAATTCTGAAGGCCACACTTGCATAGAAGTCTCACGATGGGCATACGACCTACAAAGCGTAAAATAAATAAATAAATTAAAAGGTCTTTGGTAAAACGTGAGGTCTGTCAACCAAGGGTATCCTATGTATCTACACCTCTATGATCAGACCCATTACCAGTAATGCATCGGTGGTATGGTGAATCAGACTCGCAATCAAAAGCGTCGGAAATCTGCTTGCCAAACTTCAAAAGGCAGGCGCTGTGTGCTGCATGGGAGCTTTCTCTACAAAGCCTGGTACTGCTCTTTATGCTCTACTACGCTTACCAAAACTTGGCACCTCTATACGTAGGGAGACCTTACAGGCCAACAATAAGCTTGAAATAAATGAAAATTGCTGGTGGCAGAGATCGAGACAGAAGAGCGTTTTCAATTAATCACCCTTCTTCTTAATCACTTATTTCTTAGGGGTTACTTGAAGTCGCAGGTTCATGCCAACAACCCTTAGAATATCGCAGTCTTAAAATAGAATATTCGACTGGAAAGCGAACAGTTATCACCGGCCACTTGACGGGTATCATCTTTTCCACTTAAAAGAAAAAATTATAATCTTTACTGATTGCTCCTAAACTGACAATGGATCAGGATCTGGTGTCTATATCGAACATAATGTTCATGAGCTTCACTTTTCTCTTGGGGAATATGCCTCGGTATTCCTATTCGAATCCGCAAACTTCAGCCTTTGAAGCCACCGTCAGAAATTGGGCGAATATTTCACTGTGAACCTCATGTTGCTCTCAATCTCGCAGGATCGTGGAACTCTTGAAAGGATCTGCTTGAATTTATTCGTAAATCAATTATGGCCTTTTCTTTTCTACCGAAAAATGTTGCCTTCCAAGTTCCTTCTACGCACAAATACTAAGGAGAGGGAAATGAAAAGGAAAAATTTTTTGTACAAAAGAAAATACCATTAAATTTAAAAAAGAATGAAAGGAACGAGAAAACAATACTATAAGCTGCATGTAGCTTGTATGAATGTTAAAGTTTCATGATAACTTTATCCTATGGATGAATTGTAAAATCTTTGAAGTCTTTTTCATGAATTATCTATTTTTTTTAGCTACGACGTTATTCTAGCAAACGATCGTATATATAGGTATTCTTTTTTTAATGGCGTTATCTTCTCTCGAAAAAAATGTGACCTTCTTATATGGCAACATTATCAGCGTGCAATATTTTAAGAAGAAGAGTAAATGCAACATTACTTCGAGAAAAGAAAACGCTATAAAATACATATTATTCTCATTCGTAGTCCGTTATCTATAATTGTTGTAAACATTGTTAAAATGTGTTTATATTTACCAATTAAAGACTTCTTAGATCTTATATACATATGCATACATATATACATTAGCGTATATTCTAACTTTGCACTCTTTTTGCAGTATGGACTGTACAGCTGCTTCTTGGGCTGCTTTATCTACGTTATTTTCGGAACCAGCAAAGATGTTCCTTTTGGACCTACTGCCATTGCCGCATTGCTGACGTTTCAAATAGCTCGTGGCAGTTTGGAAAAAACAATTCTACTCACCTTTCTTACTGGCCTCATTGAAGTTCTGATGGGTATATTTCAGTTAGGTTTCCTCATCGACTTCGTATCTGGACCGGTCAGTGCAGGCTTCACCAGCGCCGCGTCATTAATCATTTTTACCTCACAACTTAAGGATATGTTGGTTGTAGATACAACTGGTGAGACGCTAGTACACATGTGGATCTCCATAATTAAGGATTTTCATAATATCAGCTGGAATGATGCCGCTTTGGGTATAAGTTCGGTTATTATATTACTCTCTATGCGTTCGATGACCTTTGTCACTATCGGCCCGAAGGAGGGCAAAGCATGTTGGCAGCGTGTATTGCAGCAGATCATCTGGTTGATTGGCACTTCACGTAATGCAGTTCTTGTGATGTTGGTCGGTCTATTAGGTTATGATTTGCTCCATTCCGGCATCGATATCTTTCGTATGGTCGGTTATGTGCCACAGGGATTACCCGAGCTGAAGATGCCAGCATTTTTTATAGATACCTTCACTAATACCACCAGCGGCGAGCTTGTGCAAACGCATGAAAATTTCATTGATATGGTAAGCAGCTTGGGTGCTGGTCTAATTGTGATACCGCTAGTTTCGCTGCTGGAAACCACAGCACTGATACAAACTTTTGGTGAGTAATGCTTGAAACACAATACCGGCGAATGGTCAAATTCGCCGAATTGGGCGATGCTGTCGTTCACCGTTTGCCCAGCTATTACGCCTACTTAAACAGAATTAAAGCGGTAGCGAAAACAGCTGATGCCATTCGGTCGCCTTTATAATTTGTGTGACCATATTTAGAAAAAATGAAACCATATTCGGAAATGAGGAAATGATAACAAATATAAATATAAAACAAAGAAAAATTATTATAAATTAATTTCTTGTAAGCCAGATTTAATGAATCCACAACTTACAGCTGTCATCGCCCAGTAGGGCGATAGAAATAAATCTATCGCCATGAAAGGCCGCCGAGCGGACTTCGCATTTCGCTTTGGCTGTGTTCAATTTACAGCCTGATTCTGTGCACTTGATAAGTAAAAAAAAATTATGATTTATCAATTTTTTATTATTTATCAAGAATTGCAATTCTAGCAGAGAAATCTAAAGCTCTTTTCTTGATAAATTATCAAGATTGAAAATGCTATTGACAAGCGTTTACAAATTGAAGTTTCATATGAAAATTATAAATTTTGTACATGATTCAATAATTAAAGGTTTGCTCATTAGTGACATTAGAGTTTTGACACTACCTTATCTCCCTTACAAAAGCTTTGCACACACACTCGAACCCACACACAGTGCCTTGCTAAGGGAGCCGATTTTGTCAAGAGGGAGCGAAAAAACTGTTTTTTGAGCAAACCTTTTATTTATTGAATCTTGAATTTTGTATATTAATAAAATGGTTTCTATCATTTAAATACTGCATGAGCCGGCATTTGAACCTGGAACACACAGAATTTATAGCCATCTCTATCTACTCGGCTACGGCAGTCAAAAACTTGTTTGCTTTTAAATTCATATTTTTCATATGTGACAATGAAATCAGTTCCTCTCGTGTGGAAATTAGTTCCCCTCTTGTGGAAATCGTAGAGCTTTTTATTTAATAAACATTGACACTGAATGCGATGGGAGCTTTTACTTGATAAAAATCTTGATACAATTTCTTTAAAAATAATTTATCAAGAAAACACAGAATTGGGCTTGCAGATGTTCTAATTTTGACAGCGCGAATTTCGCTGTGGTGAGCTCGCCGTTCGTCGGCATTGTGTTTCCGCTATAAAATAGTAAATGGTGTGGCAAATGTACATACAAAAGTATGTATGTATACAATATAATTATTGTTTTATTTTTTATTACCAGCCGATGGCAAGCCTTGTGATGCTAATCAAGAACTCATCGCCATTGGCCTTTGTAATGTCGGCACTTCCTTTGCGCAGGGCTTTCGTGGCAATGGCCCTTTGGCTCGAGGTGCTGTCTTGAATGCCAGCGGTGTTAGAACTCAGATGTCAAATTTGTATGCGGGAATTCTTGTGATGTTCGCTTTACTTTATCTAACTCCTGCCTTCTACTATGTTCCGAAAGCTGCTTTGGCTGCAATTATTGTTTCCGCGACGATCTTTATGCTACAATATCGCGTAATCAAGCCGATGTGGCGTAGTAAAAGTAAGTACATCCGTAATGTATGCGATTTCCACGAGTGATTGAATTATTTTGCTAAGGAACTACTAAAATTAAAATAGCGTTTCAATCTCAATAATGTCAAATTTATCTCTATCAAGGAAAGGGTGTTTAAAAAGAACATTTCGTGACACAGTTTCTATCTAAAATCAGGAACGTTAATAACATGCTCACATCTAAGTGTTCATAAACGCTGGTTTAAAGTATACTCTACTTCTTTTTAAATAAAGATTAGATAATTGATTATTAGATATAATAATTGCGCTATTTGGGCGTCCCACTATGGGGCCTTTTGACATTTTTCGTTGAGAAAATCATAACTTCTGAACGAATAAAGATATTTTAACAACTTAACTTGCATCTGGAAGAAAAATATCTTAGGTTTAAATGCAGAATGCTCAAAAAACAGACTGTCTCAAAATGTATTATTAAAGTATATATATTTTTATGAAATGCAAAAGCTAAAATTTGCCAGTACCAATTTCATTTCAGCAACAGGAGAATCGATTTTCTCCAAAAACTGCTATTTTCTCCGCACTTTGCTCTAAAAAAATTTATATAAACAAATGAAAATTACAAATATCTTCTAAAGTGTATTAGATAGCCTTCATTAAAAAAAAATTAAACAAATAACCACATAAAAATATAGACTTTACGAAAAACAGGTAAACAACGAAGTCGACCTTTGTTTGGTTTTACTTAAAATTAACGTACCTTCTATAAAAATAGAAGAAAATAACAATTGTTCGCTTTATTTACATACAAGTCAATCTCAAACGTGACAAACAAAAATTAAAAGGTCGCGAAATTCAACGCTTTTTGGAAAAACCTTCCCAGCTTCGTATCTTCGCAACGGTTTTTTCCATATGGTCCATTCTCGAGGCCTAAATATCAACTAAGAACATAAGAAAGATTGCTATTCGCGCCCACCTGCAGTAAAATATCACAAGACCACATTCGTGCAGCCTTTGAAGCATTCCCGGGTAGACTCGATGCTATTATCCGCCCAAAAATTGGCTGAATCTAACTGTAATAAATTTTTTTTTTAATTTGTAATTTTTATTATGATCTGAAGTTTGTAGTTAAAAAACAAAACAAAAAATTACAAAACTATAAAATTTATAAATTCGTAACACTTCGAGCGCCTACCCTTGTATAAAAAAAGACAATTTGATATAGAAATACGCTAGCACAGCATTGCCTACGAGGTCTTCAGCCGGCATACAGTGGTCTGAATAGAGAATCTAGTGGAACGAAAAAATAAGTGTGCGCCTTTGTCTTACCTATTTAAACTAGGGAGGCATAAACTAAAAGATTTCCTATCAAAAACTCTCACTCATCTAAATCGTTAATTTCCCTACTTTGCTAATAATTTAATTCTTTTATCTTCCAGAAACTGATCTCATTCCTGGCCTTGGAGCCTTCATAGCTTGTATTGTATTACCCATACAGGTTGGCATATTGGTTGGCATTGGCATCAATATCGTTTTCATATTGTACAGTGCAGCGAGACCAAAACTGCGTATCGAAAATTTATGTGTAAGTTATTCTTTAAACTCATATTATGTATTATTATTTATGTAGATACGCTTGCAATTAAACACATTATTAATTTACTCTTTTCGAACCACCACATAGACCTCAACTGGCATTAGATACCTCATGCTCACCCCCGATCGATGTCTGATCTTTCCCTCTGTAGAGTTTGTGCGCAATGTGATCAACAAGCAAGGGCGCAAATCGACGGTACCCGTAGTCATTGATTGCACCTACATTTATGGTGCTGATTTCACCGCCGCCAAGGTGGTTTCGATGTTAATTAAAGATTTCGAGACGCGTAACCAGAAACTCTACTTTTACAATCTGCAACGTCGAGTCGCACAGGTTTTCGAAGACCTCAATAAGGGACTGATCGTTATATACGATGTCGATCACTTGGAACGTGAATTGTCTGGCAAAGATGAAAATTCCAAGCTGTGAATTATTGGCAATCAAGCTATAATTGTAAATTGCGGGTCTGAATACTGCTGTTGCAATAGACCGATGTTCACTCGAGCGAAAACGAAGGTGTCATCATAATGAAGAGGAGGTGTGAAGTGGTGAAAGTGATGAGCTGTGAAGCGGCTTGAGCGCGAATGCCGTTGTGAAGCAATGGGCAGGAACGGCATAATGAACGGGATCTAAATTATTAGCAACTTTTTTATAGTCCATTTAAATGCTTTTATTTTTAAAGTCGTATGTGCTATTGTGTATTTTTTTATGTATTGACATGTATTTATGTGAACCTTTTCTGCAATTATATACATATGTACTGAAAATTACAGTGAAACCCGCTCAAGTAACCAACATTTTTGGGCACCGTGAATATTTTAATGTAATCTGAAGAAAATCTTTCTCTTAAGTACCTCCCCGCTTATTTACCTAACCCACCTAAGTACCTAAATTTATCATTTTACTTATAATTTTCCCCTTTTAAGTGCTCCCGCAACACGTTCGGCAAAAAATTCTAAAACATCATTGGCAATTTTTAGCCACATTATTACACGAAAATTAAAAACACTTCTGAAAAAAGTTTGAAATTTTTTTGAAAATTTTATGAATATTTTTTCAGGTTTTAAAATATTATAAGCTTAGGTTTAAATGGTATTTATTAGGAAATGAACTGTGTTTTAATTGAAAAATCTTAAAAATTAATAAATAAACGCAAACGCCATAATTTTTAATTGGTCCGAAATTGGTCCAACACTGTATGTATGTATAAATATGTGTAATCAATTACTTTACAGAATTGAATTCTTTTAAAAATGGCATAACATTGATTTTCCGATTGTTTATAAAGTTTTGGTTTATATGTTTATGTGTTAAAATAATCTTGGTTTTAAACCACGTGCACTTCATTGAATGCTCATGTTTCATTCAAATACTTATTTATGTAAGTTAACAAGAAGATTAACTACATTAATAATTATGTTCGCTTAAGTACCCGCATCGAGGTACTTAAGCGGGTTCTACTAAGTATCCAACCCGTACGTAAGTACTTAAAAAAGCTGACATTTTCGTGAGGTGCTTTAGCGGGTCTTACAGTAGTACAAAAAAATTAATAAACAGTTTTTAATCTTGTGCTAAATTCAAGTTAACTGAATTTTTTCAAATACATACCTACTTTTATTCACATTGTCCTCCGAGACGAAATACCTTGGGTGACATATCAGGCACCAAACTAAGCTGGAACACAAATATTGAGAGGCGCGTTGAGAGAACCTACATTGCTTATTATACATGCAAAAGCACATTCAGTAAGAACTGGGTATTAAATCCAAAGCTTGTCCTCTGAATGTGCACGGCTATCATATGACCAATACTGACCGGACCTAGAAAAACAATACAACGTAGTATAAAAAAATCAGCTTGTGCAGGTGCTACAGGAACAATCAAGTCGGGTCCATCTGATGCGCCTAATGTGATCCTGCATCAACTCAAAAGCTTATCGAATCAGAGGAAAAATCAGATTATATACCTGCTCCGACAGATTTCAGGAAAAAAAATTTACTGAAGTTTCCTTCTAGACGGGATTGGAGTAGAGGCAGAATATTCGAGGAGAATTCCACTGAAATCTATACCGACGGGTCCAAAATGGACTGCGGCGTGGGTGCGGAGGTATTCTCTGAAACTTTGAACGTCTCTCTCTCGCTTCGACTAACTAATTTTACTAGCATCTTCCAAGCGAGTAGTACTGTGAATCGAAAGGGCCTCGAAAGCCTTAGGAGGAACTATGTAGAAGTACGAAAAGCATACATTATCTCAGATAGCCAAGCGGCACCGTTTGCAAAATCTAAAACACTCGGAGATTGCAAATGTGCGGTAAGCTCTATGGCCTAGTTAATAGACATCTCTCTCATCTGGGTTCACGGCCAAAGGAGCATACACGGAAATGAGAGGGCTAAAGCTAAAGCCGGAGCATCTTTTGATGAATCCGAGGCAGAGACAATAAGCTGTCGGACTCGGACTCATCAAAAGAGAACTGCATCTGCAATTCGCACGTATGGCTGATACAAAGTATTTTATCCGTTGGAAGTTTACCAGCATATTTTTTGGTATCGATGATTTTTGTGTGGGTTTACAAATTCGCCATACTGATGATAATTTGTATTTATTAAATATTATGTAGGTGCGAAAATACTTTCTTGGGTCAAAAATTGCATGAGAGGTGTTTACTAGGTAAGTATGTACATTAGGGTGGTCCGGAAAAAGTGCATGAGAGAAAAGTAATTTCGGAATTTTAATGCACTCACTCCCAAGTGACTCTCTACTTACGTCGAAAAAATATACAACCTTTTGTTTTTTTAACCAAAAAATACTTTTTTTTAATAAAAAAAAAATTTGGAGGTCGCTCAATGTTTGCCATCTACATATTTTATATGGAAAAAAAACTATTTTTCGTACAAATGGTATAAAATCGGTTAATCCTGTTTCTCTTCAGGAGACTTCAATGAGTAACCCCATTGCAATTTTTGGGGTTTTTGGGACCCTTGAAAACTTGCAGAGTTTGCCGATGGAGAAATATAGGTTTTCAAGGATTCTCAAACATATCTACGAAATTTTTTTTCGAATAAAAAATACATGATAAACTTTGAGCTCTTTAAGTGACCTCGAAATATTTTTATTTATTTAAAAAAACAAGGGTATATTATTTCGATATAAATAGAACAATCCAACTTTACTGCTTTTGAACCATCCTAATGTACATATGCAAAATCCACTTGCTTTTAAAATATACACACGCATGTCAACATGGATGAGTGCTGGTCGAAATATTTAGTCTGCCGTATTTGTGTATGTATATGTATGTAAACATAAAGATTTTGTCAATGCTAAAAGCTAATTAAAATTTCACGTATTTGGATTTATTGCCCTTACTGAATTTATTATGACGGTAATGGATTTATATTTTGATGGATAAGCACATTGGATATATATTTGATTGATTGCGACAACCAAAACAGGTGGTAAATAAATGGCAATTAATTCCAGGAAGTAATGAAAGCGATTTTTTGGCACGTGGCGAAATACTTATTGCTTAGATATCTAATATTCCATGCTTAAGCTAGCTATAATATTCAATAATAACTAGCGTCCAATGCATCATTACTCAAATCCCTGAATTAGATATGTAAATAACAAATAGAAAAAAACATTATTCCAGTATTTAGATAATCTCAAAATTTCGACTAAATGAACGAAAATATGAATTTATAATCAAAAAGGGGCTGAAGATGTGTGTGTGTGAATCTTTAGATGATGTTTTGCTCTTTATGACCGAATTCAAAAAAGGAGAAGATGGCCAACTCGTCCGAATATTTTTTACTACATGAACCGATTTCGATAATTCAAGCTCGAATGTCGAATACCGAATTTAATTTTTTGGATCGATTCCCGGATCGAATCAGAACCGCTCGATTAATCAATATTCGGATTAATGGATTTACACCTCAGTGCGTTTCAAAAATATATCCCTCTACAGTCCAACTCCGGCTGCGCATTCCACAGCATAGTTGCGTCCAACTGCTTTCGTGAAAAATAGCAACAGTACAAAGATACCGTTATTTATGAAGCTTTTATAAGGCTTAGGCAAGTAATGTTAGTGTTACAATAGGGCGCGCTGTGAAATGAAAAGCTACATACATAAGTATGCCATCAGTTGTGACGGTGGGCGTATGAGTGATATTTCAAGCAAGTTCTTAATACATTCATTTTGACATTCACTTTATCAACTTTTCCCAGATATACCAATACGTTATTAATCCACTTTTGTAAGTTGGTTTATAGGAATCATGCTCGTCTAGAGGGAAGAGGGTGGTAGGTGTTTCCCCCCGGGCCCGGATTTTCAAAGGCGCCTCGGATTTTTCGATAAATTAGGTTGGAAATTATAAATTACTAGTGAATCCCCAAGGCATTAAAATGCCCAAAATTTCATTTAAAAAAGCTACAAACTACTGCAAATCTTAGTCAGAGTTATAAGCGATCCGAGTGGCATATTTCATCTAAATCCGTACAGCCGTTTCTGAGTGAAGAGAGGACTCGAAAAGTGTTGGTTTTTAATATAATCAAATTTCAAATCATCCTTTACCGATAAAAAAATCTGACTACAAAAATTAAAACCTTACCGCACATCTACAGGCCAAGGTCTTTACTTTGACCTCTCATATTTGAAATTCGAAATAACGGAGGTAATCTGATGACCTTCACAATTGTGCCTCCTCGATAATATATACATATGATTGGATCCGTATGACTTTTAGATAAGGTGGCAAGCCTAATCAAAGATATTTCCAAACTAAAGCTTTCATAAATCTCTTTCGATTGATACTTAACTAAATTCGACTTTTCAAACAGGAGGAAATACTTTTCAAACTAAAACCTTCTTAAATCCCTTTTGTCTAACATTGTGATGCATATTTCAATTAACTGGAGAATTAAGCTTAATTTAATTTTTAAATTAATTGTATTCATTAATTCCACGGTAAAATAGAGTTATTTTCAGTGTCCCACCAGTCACATTCATTCAAATGATAGTAAGAAATCGTTTGGTATTTCGGTTAAAGCAATTTTATACATACTTCTTTTTTAAGTTATCGTTATACTTAAAAAAATGTCTTTCGCTGTTGTGTAAGCTTCGACGGCATAGTTATACTGATTAAATTCTAAAGTAAAATGTCCCACCAGTCACAATTGAATGGCCCATCAGTAGATACCTCAGAATTGTATACAAAGAATATTTTGGAGCAAACTTAATAAAAACTAACTTTTGGAATCTAATTCTTTAAATATATATCATGTTTTAAATATTAGCTGGCAACCCTATACAGATATCTACCAGGTAGAAAGTACATATTTTGAGTATATATGTACTGTGTATGTCTAACTAAAAAAAATTGGTTGAAATTAATAAGATAAAAATTAGTTTTAAAAAATGTGGCAACCCTAAACCAAAATAATTATGGATTAAAGCTCTCTTAAACATCTTTCAATTGATGTGCATATTAATTTATCGCAATTAAATTTTGTGCAATCGAAAAAAAGGCAACCTTTCCTACCGGTTC